GGCAAAAGTTTGAAGTGCGATGAAAAGAAAAAAAAGGGGGGGGCTGCTCTGCACTGCTCAGGCAGAAGGAGCTGTGTAGGGGGCGGGGGGGGCTGTTGCTTTGAAACAGCAGGGCCTGGATGGGAACCAGGGAATTTCTCCAAGATTGTCCTTCTGCCCTCAAGCAATGAGAAGAATGAGCGGAACCCTTCGGCTGTCTGCGTCGGGCATTTTAACTCCTGTCCCATTTTAGCAAGCGCGGTAGATTTCAGCTGCGTTAAGTGCAGAGTTGGGGCTGAGGGGGGGACTTTGATCCCATGGTCGGGGCTGCCGTCTTGACTGTTTGGACTGCCTCTGCCCCGGACACCCCTGGCTGAGCGCATTCTCCACCGTCCCTGATGAATTCAAAAGAGGCGGAAGTCAAGGGTAGGACGTATATTTGCTGCAGGAAGCCCCAGGTCCCCCCTCCAGCATCTTGGGGTTGGGGAGAGCTGGGAAAGGCCTCAAAGAGCTTGCAAACTTGGGGCCCTCAAGACACAATGTTCCTAGCCAGGATTTTATATATATATATATATAATATATATAAAATTATTAAAGAAAGTTTTAAAAGAATAAAAACAATACAGAGTTTGGAAGAGAAAAGTAAGGAAAGGAAAGTAATAAGTAAGTGAAAAAAAAAGTACAAAGAAGTAGAGAAGAGAAAGAAAAGAAGAAAAGAAAATGTTATAAAGAAGCAGCTTCTGGTCTTCTTAACAGCAGTTGCAAGTACATTTATTTTTCACCCTCTCCCTCTGAGGTTACAACATAATTTCTTCCTTTCCGTAGTCTACCCTTTCTAATCGTCAAACCCATAAATCGCAGGTTCATTTTTTTTCTTTTTTCAGCCAAAAGTCCATAAGGGGTTTCCAGTCAGCAATAAACGTAGATATTGTCCTTCTCTAACCCAACAGGTTAATTTTGCCATCTCGGCTAATTCTGTCATCGTCACCATCCATTCCTCCGCTGTGGGTATTTCAGAGCCTTTGTGCACGTAATAACCTTGCATCAGTTGTCATATATAAAGACGATCTTGCATAGCAATTTTCCAGTAGTCTATCCATTAGTCCCAACAAGAAGAGTTCTGGTCTTGCAACTTCTGATGCTCCTGATGTGGATGAACTACAATTCCCAGCGTCCCTCGCGCTTGAGCATGCTCCCTAGGGACCTGAGTATTGAAGTAACATCTGGAAGGTCATCATCTGCCTGCCAGACATGTCTGAGCTCACCAGAGCCTCCCTCTCGTTTGGTAGATGAGCTATTCCTACGCTGGTTTACCTTCTTGCCATTCTTCTTCTGTTTTGGCCCCCGTGCTGACCAAGAGGATAAAAGTTCGTTCCCCTTCTCTTGCGTGCCCCCTTAAATTAAAGCCCGGCCAGGAATTAGGATGGAACTGAGTGCCAGTGACACCGACTCTGCTTTTCGACTTACCACCCAGGTCCGAGCAGCGTCTACTCCAGACCTCCCTCCTTCCCCACATTCACAGTGAGGAGGCAGTTGTGGGGCCGTTGCAACGGGCTGCAAAACTATCACTGATCAATCCTGGTTAACTTGGAAGATCTGCTCTCAGATTTTTTTGCAGGGGGGAGGGAGGCATCTTTCAATTTGAAAAGTCATCATTCTAGATAACTTCTTACATGCTTTGCGAGGAAAATCCAGTTTTCTTAGTCTAATTATTTAAGCATTTTTCACAGGAAATACTGTTGGAACTTGCTGTCTTCCTCTCCTTCTGTTTTGCAGCCTGTTGTCGAATTGTGTCCCTCAGTGCCACAGGTCCACTGTGACACCACAGATCTTGTCCTGTCCTTGCAATTAAGTCATTCCCCTCTGAAACTTTCATTAATCTTTCTCTTGTGTCTTACTAACGGTCAACTTTTACACTTGATGTCTTAAATGTTTTCTGCAACATGCAGATCCTGAAGGACTAATTAAAAATCTGTGTTAATTGATAGAGGCCAAGATAGAGTAACATGATAAAAACTGTTGATTTTGAACTCCTGGAAAGCAGGATTGGAGTGTGAAATCTCAGGAAGGAGAAGGCAGACCAAAACCCTTAAGGAAGGAACAACGTGTTTTCTTGGCAAGCCATTCTTCGGTCTTTCTCACATATTAGGGCAGAATGTTCTTCAATCTTCAGATGATCTTGATTTTCTGGAAGACTATGCAGGAATATGGATAATATCAACAGGAAGTTGAAATATCTCTATTTAGACATGTAAAAAAGTTGGCAGTCCTCATCTGGTCTCAGAAGTTAAGTAGAGTTTAGCCTTAACCCTAACCCTAACCTGGATGAGAGACCACAGGAAATCTCAGGACTGAAGGTTATCCTGGGAAGTTGAAAAAAACGCCCTGGAAGAAGAGGAGGACCAACTACTTCCGTGAGGTTGCCAAGAGAATGTCACGGATGTGTCCGGGGAGTTCCCAGGAATGGAGTTTGACCCCAGGGGTCTTCCTGTGCCTTGTAAATAACTGGGCTATCTTTAAAATGTAGACGCCAGTTTTTCATTTGACTGAAGACCTGCCTTCCTGCCTTTCTTCCACACCCAACACGAGCCAGCCTGAGTCTGCACAGCGCAGAAGACCAGATTGCGGCTGGCTAAACGTTGGGGTCAAGAAGTAAATCCAGCCACGTTGGTTAGAGTACGGTCCAGTGCGTTGTGTTAACCTTGTTGCCTGGCGTAATTATTAGCTTTGTATCTTACCTTTCCTGCAGGAGCTCAAGGCAGTATCCATAGCTCCTCCCCACATCCCTCCCCCCATGACAGCCTTGGGAGGGAGGCTGGGCTGGAGGAAGAGTGGGCTTCCGTGGCTGAAGACGGACTCGAACCCAGTCCCAGCCCAACAGCAGGAATGAGGGAAATGCCCCCGGGGCCCTCCAGCCTCACACTTCGCAGCCGTTTGCGTTTAGCTGCTTCACCCGATCTTTCCTTTTTTCACTGCTCAGCTGCGCTTATTGATCGCTGTTTCGTTTTCAAACGCCGAAGCACTGAGATTCCCACAAGTGGAAGGGCCCGCTAGCAGCCGCTCCAGACGTGCGCAGTGACCTCCTCGGCTCGGCAGCCAGAATTTCTGCGGCGGACGTTTCCGGCCTTCGAGGCAAACCCGGCGCGCGTCGCGTCGCCCGGGGGCTGCTCGTGCTGAGGCGAGCGCCGCTGCGGGCTGACGCCGCAGAAGAGGGCTGCTTGGCGCGCTGAGTTGGGGTTGCTGGCCGCTCTTCCTTTCCGCCTAGCTTCTCCCCACTTTCCTCTTGAGAATGGATGCAAGCCTTTAAATGCCAGCTATCCCCAGACACTTTGCCAATAAACCGCCCCCCTCACCTGTGGCTTTTGCAGCTTCCTCCTAAGATTATCGGCTGCAACGTCTTATCCCCGCTTTCGGACTGGGGCTAACAGGCCGCCCCAGCTCAAGCAAGGACCGGCCTGGGGGCAGCTCGGTTGAAGCGGAGGGGTATTTCCAGGCCAGGCGGCTCTTTCAGACAGACTCCCTTGCTTCTCCCCCAGCGGAACAAGCTCAGCTTCTTTCTCCGCCTCTCAGAGGGAGCGAAATGACACC